CCACCCGCTCATCAAGCAGAACGACCTCAACAGGGGTGTGTGTCTGCTGCACGAGGTCATGCCTCCGAAGAGGATGCAGCAGCCTCCGTCCCTCCCTCTGATGTGTCTCGCCCTCTCTCACGTCCTCCCTCTGTGTCTTGCCCTCTTGCAAAGAGAAGGCGAGACACATCAGCGGGAGGGAGAGACACATCCATCCATCCATCCATTTGTGTGTGTCTGTCACCATCGATGATTTTGTCGCTCTGGGCAAGATGAGGAGTGCACTTTCTGTCCTTCCTTTCCGGTCTTCGTACATGTCGGGCTTTGCACTGGCGAACAATCGTGATTTCACGTGAATGGTGGTCATTCTGCGTGTCTGGATGGACGTTTCCGTGCCCTCTACCATCCCTAAAAGTGCCTCTGCAAATTTCGCGAAATGTCCATAAAGTGGCGAAAAAACAGACCCGCTCAGCTTGCTGTATATGAGGCCACAGAGACGAAGAACCCAATGCGGCGCCATACTCACACACACTGAAGGAAGGTGAGAGCGTCTACTTGTAAGGAAAGAAACGCAATCAACGAAACACCATCAGTCAAGTGTCACTCACTCCATTCCATCATGACACACAGCAGCCCCAATCGAAATCCCCCCACCGCCACACCCACTAAGCACAGACGACAAGAGGAACAGACGGCATGAGCTAGACAAATCGCACTGACAAACCCGCGAAGATGCAGCTGGCGGACCTGATAGTGCAGAAGTAGCACTACTAGACCCCCTCTCTCCCCCCCTCACACAGTGAGTAGTTAGTCTGTCACTCGAGGAAGGTCTGCAGCAGCTGTTGTGCCTTCCCTTCTCTCTCCGTCTCCGATCGGCCCCCCTCTCCCTTGGCCGCTGGCAGGGGTTTGTCTTTCTCGGTGCTCTCGGGCGCGTCGAATGGCAGGTCCATGCCGTACTCGTGTGGGTACCGCAAGAGCTCCCCGTAGTCGGTGAGCTTCGACTGCGCCACAATCTCCAGCTTCTCGAGCATAGTCGCCAGCGTCAAGGACGCGTCTGCACATAACATACACGCACACATATAGACATTCAAGGGGAAATAAATGGATGCAGCGCATAGATTATATGGGTGGTTGTGTGTCGGTGGGTCCCGGGGTGGGTGATTCTGACCTTCGTTTTCTAGTCCGGCGTCAGAGAGGATGTCGGTGACGTCCCTGTCGTGGTCGACCTCTGAGTGCTGGACGATGATGGCCTCGATTTCCTTTTCGTCGATGACGCCGTCCTTGTTGGCGTCATAGCTATCGAAGTCCTTCTTCATGCTCTCCTCGTCCTCCTCAGACCCTGACAGGGAAGGTGAGGCAACACACAACAACGACGACATTCATGGGCATGCCTGATCTGCTTTACATCTGCATCCATTTGTCTGCTGCATCTGTTTACCCTCCTCCTGCCCCTTGAACTCGGCGAAGCTGATCTGCCTGTTGCCATCCATGTCTTGCTGCTGAAGAAGCACAGCACAACCACATCAGCAGAGAGAGGCAATCAGCCGTCGATGCACATCACATGCCGTTGGCCTCGCCTGTTTCCTCAGCTCACCTTGAGTATTTCGTCTATTTCGACCTTCATGAGAGCTGGATCTTCGCCCACATGCAGCAGCTTCTTGAACTCCCCAACCATCAGCTTGCCGTCTGGATACACACACGACACATGCCGACACGAACAAAAGAGAGGTAGAGGTGCATGCCTGAAAGCCAGACCGCCATCCTGCCACTCACCGCCGTCCTTGTCTACCGTCTTGAACCGAAGCTGCTCTCACACACCAACACCAGCTCATTGATTGATTAGTGGCCTGCATGATCCCCGTTTCTTGCTCACTCACCGCAATATCCTCCTTGCCCTCTGCCGACGCCGCCTCATCCTCGCCGAAGTAGGCATTGTGCAATTCGCTGAGGTCGACAAATCCGCTCTTGTCCTTATCGATGTCCTCGAACTCCAGGTTGCTCTGCCGCATCTGCACCTGTGGGTGGAGCCGCTTGAGCCACTCGCTCATCTCCTTCTTGGTCAGCTTGCCGTCGCCGTCCTTGTCCAGCAGCAGGAACAGCTTGCTCATCCGCTCCTCTATCTCAGGTCGCGCCATGCCCAGCAAGTCCTCCAGCCCCTCGGTTTCGTCCATCATCTCGTCCTCCATCTCGTCGTAGCCGAAGTCACCCTCGGCCTCCTCGCCGAACGGGATGTCGTCCTCCTCCTCCTGCGCCACCGACGCAGCCACCAGGAAGGCACCGAAGATCAACAGTGATAATCGCATTTTGGCAGCCCGCGCTCGCTGCAGGGTGTAGGGTTCAAACCCTATAAGCCAGCGAAATCCTCCCGCCTTCCTTGATTCATCGGCTGCCTTCCCATCGCTCGTGAGTCACGTACGTTCTCTCCGGTGCGGCAGCAGCTGCAGCAGCATTTTCAGCGCGGTCAGAGCTGCTTCTGCCTGGCTCGGATCACCTCGTCCGACGGTGAGTGAGGATGGATGGTTCATCGCGAGTCACCATGTGACTTGCGGCCTTGTGTGCTCCACTGGTCGTGTCGTTTGGTGCAGGTCTGTCTTATCAACGGCGCGAACTCGTTGAGCGCCTCTACACAGCCATTGACTCATAGCTAGGTGGGCGAGTACACACACAACACATGAATGCACCAGGTGGCTGCCCATCTCTTATCGCCTCTGTGTGTCTGTGGTTGATGCACCTGTTAGTTTATGTTTGAGTGAGATGTCCGACGGTCACGACACCCACATGGCCTCCGCTGCCATGGCGGACGGTGACGGTGACGGTGACGACGACGGTACGCCACACACCACTACAACAACACATCAAACACACACCGTCCTCGCCATTACGTGTGTGTGTACCTGTGCCTTCGATGGTGTGTGCAGGCGACGTAGATGAGGAGGAGCATAGTGACGGCAGTGGGCAGCCGGAGGGACGACATCGTAATGGCGCAGACAGCGGTGAGTGATCAGACGTGCCACACAGACCATTCGACTCACACACATCAGCAGCACGCTCATACAGGGTCGGTGAGGGTGTGTGTGTTGGTGTCCAGGCGACCAGGAGCAGGAGGGCGCGATGGCCTATGAGATGGCCGACGGTGGTGATGGTCCGCAGGCAGCAGATGGAGACGAATCGGTGAGGCACCCATCAACACCAACAGTGGTCCATGCGATGGATGCACATACTTTATTTTCCGCCCCCCGCCTCTGTTGTGTGTCAGGGTGGCACGCAGGTGGAGGCTGGTGATGACGACCAAGATGACATTAATATCGATGACAGAGACTCGGACGACCACTACCCATATGAGAAGGAAGGTACGCCAGACAGCCGTGAGAGAGGATCCTGTGCGCACAGACATTCAATCGCCGTCCGTTGTGTGGCGGCTGTCTGTGTTGCAGGTTGTCTTCTCGTGGGCCTGGTGGATCCGGCTGTCCCTGTGGCTGACGGCTATATCGGACTCGACGAGCTGGAGGCTCGGTTCCTCAAGGGCACCAGCGACGCCACCAGAGAGCTGTCGTGGTGGATCATCGGCCGCCGCTTCACCGACGCACGGCAAGTGACCGACCTCATCCGGCAGCAGGGCGCCGACCCAGATGTCATGCCTGGGCTGCTGGGCAGGGACAGCAGTGGTGCTGTCTACGGCTACCCACTCCTGTGTCTCGCCATCGACGACAAGTCGGACTACACCGTCAAGACCATCGAAGCGTGGGTCGAAGACGACGATCATGGTCCTGTCCCCTGTCCCGTCGCCCTGCCCCAGTGGTCGTCTGACGAACTGCAGGCGGCCGTCCTGACCGCACTCCTCGACGGAGGCGCCGACCCCAATGCGGCAGCCGATGGGACCGACCAGACCCCCCTTTACTTGGCGATTGCATCCGGCAATCAGACGGCCTTCCAAATCCTGATGGTGCGTCAAGATGTCGAGCGCCCATCAGACGCACTCATGGTGATGGAGCTGCCCGAGCCGCTGCATCCGCCTCCCCCCGAGTATCTGCAGGTGTTGCTGTCGATGTATCAGCAACTCATCGCACGAGACCGCACCCTCGCCACCCAGCGACGCTTCAACGGCATCAACCTGGTGCATCGGGCAGCCGAGCGGGCTCAGGGCCATTTCCCCCCGTCCTTCGTCGACAGCTACCTGGACCTCGTCACAGCGAGCGGGGCCGACATGACGGCAGTCGATGGCAGTGGACGGACACCACTGCACGGAGCGGCATTGCATGGCTCTCCCTACGTGGTCGACTACCTCTGCCGAAAGCTGCCCGCTGCCCACATCAACAGGCTATCCGAGGATAGCTCTTGCGACACGCCCCTCGCCCGGACTGCCAGGTGGCTCGATCGTCACACCCAACAGCTGCAGGACCCGGAGAACCCCGAGGACACCAGGGAGAAGATTCGCGCCGAGATTGACAACGACAAGCGCACCATCCGAACCTTGCTGCGGGCGGGTGCCGACATCAGCAGCACCCCCACAGCCACAAAGGAGGACCACCGTGACCGCCAGTTAGTGCTAACCGATTACACCACGGTGCTGAACGAGCTGGGTCCCCCCGTCATGGATGCCGTCAACGCCGCCCTCGCCCAACATCGCTCCCTCGCGGCCCTCCTGACCCCCCGGCTGGCCGTCGGCCCGCAGGAGGCCCCCATCTTCGGCTGGCGCATCGCGTCATACCTCTTCTACGCGGATGCAGCGGCATCCGCCACCACTGAGGCCATCGGGGTGCGGCACAGCGACACGGCCCGCCGTGTGTGTGCGGCAGCGGCGCACTTTGTCAAGTCGGCAGTCCTCAAGGCCAGCAGCAACAGGGCGGTGGTGGGCGGGACGGCCGATGTGGGCGGCCAGGTGGTGCGTGTGCCGCAGCTGCGGTGCTTTGTGGTGGGCGGTGTGGGGGGTCGAGTGATGGAGTTGCGTGAGGTGGTGCAGCGGGCCATCCTGGACGAGGCGGCCAAGTGGGGGCTGGTGGGGGACATCG